GTCCACCCCGCCCCCAGATCTTCAACGAGATCAACGCGCGCCGCCTCAACGACGAGCTCAACGTGTTTGAGGGCCTCCACCGCTCCCCCATCTTCATCGGCGTCCTCGCCATCACTGTCGGCCTCCAGATCATCATCATGATGACCCCCATGGGCCGCTTCTTCAAGGTCATCCCAATCAACGGCACAGAGTGGGGCGTCAGTGTGGCGATCGGCGCGTTCGCCGTCGTCGTAAGCGTGCTGACACGGGCGATCAGCCAGCTGCTGGTCCGGCTCGGCTTCGAGCCGCAGTGGCGGTGGGGCAGGGCCCGCAAGGGGGCCACAGCGGCGAACGGCGGCGCCAACGGGGCGGGGCAGGCCGAGCTGGCCAAGCTTGAGGGGGGCGCGGCAAAGGGGGCGGCGTCCGCGTGAGGCGGCCGATGCGCGTCCCATTTCTCAAAGTCGCCCGGCTACCCGAGCCAACAAACACGCCGCGCGGCTGGGGCGGCCGGGCTGGGCCGTGCGCGCCTGCCAGCGCGCCACTGATGGCCTCCCTGCAACTTGGACAACCCTTGTCTTGCCTTGCCGCATTTGCTGGCCCAAACCTTTTTTTCTTAGCGCGGCGAACCTCCCTCTCTCTTTCTGCCGCCCGCGCTCGGGCTTGAGGCCACAGCCAAACAGAACCTGCTTCGGGCGCCCTTCTGGGGGATCCCTGGGCGCCTGGCCGACTTGAACTGGCCGACTTGAAACGTACTTTGCATTGTCTTAACTTAAGGAGTGTCACTTACACAGCCTTGAACAAGTAAGCAAGCTTCATGGTATGTGCCGCAGGCACCCCTTTTGGCGGGGAGCCTGCTGAGGAGGCCAGCTGGTGGAGCCTGCAGCCCTGGCCTGGATGAGCCCAAAACAGAGGCGGGCCTGCCGCCCCGCAGGCAGGCAGGCAGGCAGGCAGGCACGAGGGAATGCAACAAACGGAGCGGCAATGAACAGTAATGAACAGTAAGGTAAGTGGAACTGGCGGTCAAGATCACGTCCATCGCATAAAGCCAGCCGTGCAGCATTGACTAGGCTGTGCCTGGCACACTTGGCCACTCGGCTGCAACGGGCACAAACCTTTGCACCAGGAAATGCAGGGTGCGATCGCACACAGGATGCGCGGCACCCATCACTGCCGCGTCGTGGTTGCGCCACTGGCGCTGCTGGCCCCCCCGATACTGCCACTGCTGCTGCTGGCGCCGCCGCCGGCGCCGCCGCCCCCATCCCGCTCCGCCGGCGCGAGCGCCACCCCCGCCGTAGCGGCGACGACCACACCCGCGCCCGCCCAGCCCAACGGGCCCATGCCCTCCCCTTCCAGCCCCAGCGCCAGCAGCGCCGACCAGATGGGCGTCAGCGCAAAGACCACCTGCGCCTGCGCCGCCTTGACTTCTGACTGCCCCCGCACCTGGAGGTACGCCGCGAGCGCCCCCGGGCCCAGGGCCGAGTACGCCAACACCACCAGAGGGGTGCCACCGGCCAGCGCGGGCGGCAGGAGCAGCTGGGAGCCACTGCCGCCGCCGTCGCCGCCGCCGGGGCTGCTGGCCAGCAGCCATGCCGCTGAGGCAGCGGCGAGCGAGACGGTTTTAATGGTGGTGAGGGCCACGGGGTCGTGGCGCGGCGCAAGCGCGGAGAGGCGCACTGTGGCGAGGGCGTAGAAGCAGCATGCAAGCAGCACGTAGCCGTCGCCGCTGCGCTGCTGCTGCGGCTGTTGCTGCTGCTGCGCCCCTTGCTGCTGCTGCTGCTCCTGCTGCTGCTCCTGCCGCAGCTCCTGCTGCTGCTCCTGCCGGGGCTGGGCTTGTGACCGCTTGGCCTGCAGATCAAGCTGCTGTTTTCCATCTAGCCCCAGGCTAGCTGTGTTGCTGCTGTTTGCACTGCTGTTCGAATCGCCGCCACCGCCCCTGCGGATGCCGCCACCACTGCTACTGGCGACGGCCGTGCTGGCGGCTGGCAGGTCGCCGCCGCCAGAGCTGCTGCGTGTGCTGGGGCGCTCCTGCGGGGCGCCCCTTGCATGAGGCTGGCCACCTTCGTCCCGCGGTTCGCACACCAGGCTGGGCGCCTGCAGCCCCACGGAGAGCGTTGCAGCCGTTTGCTCGCCCGCCACCGGCACGCACAGTGTGCTGTACCCGCCGCGCACCAATGGGTACTCTGCTGCGGCCTCTGACGCCGATGGCGGCACCGTACCCCTGAGCACCATGCCAGATTCCTGCTGCTGCTGCTGCTGCTGCTGCTGCTCCTGCTGCTGCTGCAGGGGCGCCTGCACCATCGAGGGCCCGACAGCGTCAATGGTTATGAGGTAGCTGCCCGCGAGCGCCACCACGCACGCCGCCCAGTTGGGTGCCGGCACGCGCTGGCCCAGCAGCACGGCGAGGCAGGGCGTGATGGCCCCCGTGACCTGCCCGAGAAACGCCGCTTTCGTGGCAGTGGTCAGCTCGAGCCCAAGCGCCTGGCTGGCCGTGCCGGCAAAGTTCCAGAGCCCTAGCTCGGCCCCAGCCAGCAGCGTTGCCGCTACCGGCACAGCCTGCGCGGCCACGGCCGCCGGACTGCCGCTGGGCGTTGAGCCTTGTTGTCGCGGCTGCTGCTGCTGCTGCTGCTGCTGCTGCTGCTGCTGCTGCTGCTGCTGCTGCTGCTGCTGCTGTTTCCACAGTCTCCACAGGGCTGCGCCACCCGAAGCGGCCAACAGGGCCGAAGCGGATATGGCGGCGCGCGTCGCAACCAGCTGCGCGGGCGTGATGGCTGCGTCGATGCTGAATAGGTAGCGCAGCGCCGGCGTGTAGGAGCCCCACAGCAGCGTCACAAGGACGAGCGCCACATAGCCCGCGCTGGCGCCGCCGCCGCCATCGGTGCTGTTGACGCCTTGGTCGGCGCTGCTGCTACTGTTTTCGCTACTGCTTCTGCCGCCGCTGCTGCTGTGATTGCCGTTGTAATTGCTGCTGCTGCTGCTGCTGCTGCTGCTGCTGCTGCTGCTGCTGCTGCTGGTGATGTCGGCACTGCCGCGGTCGATGCTGTTGCTTGTGACGTCAACAGTGTCCTGGCCACTGCCACAGCTTGACCCAGGCGAGCCGTCCGCCCTGTTGTCACCACCTGCGCTCTCGCCCCTCACATTGGCTCTGCCGGCGCTGCTGCTACTGCGACCACTGACCGCAGCGCCTCGACTGTGCTGCTGCTGTCCCAAGCGCTGCAGCGACAATCGCGCGGTGCCACGCAACGCGACGGCCGCGCGGCCGCTGCACCTGCCAGCAACGGCAGTGCCCATCCGTCCGCTTGAAACAATGGAGGATATATGTCCTACTCAAACATCAACGATAGCACTGGGTGCGAACAGGGCGGGAGAATGCGATTTCTTCTTGCGTGGTGGTGGTCAGCAGGTGGTCGGGAGACGGGCCGGGGAACGCGGAGTACCGTTAATATGCATGTGTTAGACTGCACCTGTGCAAGGGGAATTGCGGGGCCAGATGACTGTAATGAGCAGCGCCAGGTGTGCGGGCGACGCGATGTTGATTTGTGACACTGGTTTGCTGACATGCAGTTTTGTGCGAAAATCTGCAAGTGCAATATCTGCATTATGCATGGAGTCGCAGCGCGCCGACGTTGCAAGGAGACCTGCGCCAACCACCACAACTGTTCCAACTGAAGCATGCATTTGCCTGGCTCGCACAAGATCTGGGCCGAACAGTCGACACCAAACGTGCCATTAGGGGAGCGGATGACTCGAAGTGGCAAGCCTGCCCAAGAACGTTCCGCACAGTGCACGCAAACCCAGAAACACAGTTACTTCCTCCAGAGGAAGATGTTGCAAGCAAAGCACAGCTCGATGCATGGGGTAGGGCGACCTAAAAGAGCACTTGAAAAGCACTGTGTTGAGGAGGGGGGAGCGCCATCAACCACGCATTGCAGCGTGTTGCATCGGCTGGCAAACTCCCCGCAGTCCCTGCAGCGCTGGAATGCAGATAGGGACCCTTGCACGGCACGGGGCGCCCGACCCTGCAATATGCAGCGCCGGGCGTACGCGGCTCGCGCGGGGAAACAGTGGCAGTGCGTGTTGCGAGCAAGGCAAAGCCGCTCCCCAAGCATGCGTGGCGCAGCTCGGGGAGGCGGGGGTTTGTTGTTGCGCTCGCGTGAAGGGGGCGGGGGAGCGCGATTGGGCAGCTCAGGGTCGATGGGTGTCCACTCAGCGCACAAAGGAAACCTGGATTGGAAACAGAACGTCCAGCACTGAGAAAGCTGGGCCGACGTCGAGGAGCACGCGCACACGCGGCGGCAGCTGCTGCTCGGCAAGTCAAATGCGGTACAGAGGCGTGGTGCGGGGGCAGGGCCGGGTGCGGCGAGGCGGGCGCGGCTGCCCAGGCGGGCGCAACGTGGATGCAAGAGGCGTCTAATTGGGGACAGAGGCCGAAAACAGTGGCGAACGACGAAGGGGGGGTGAGTTGAAAGAATAAGGGGTGTGGTACAATGCATCCCTGCAAGGCCTTGTGCATGGCGTGAGAAAGCTCAGGCATGGCACATACATAGTCGCGCGGCGCACATGGTCTATGCGGCTTGATGGTGGCCGGCAATTGCGCTGCTGGATGGGGACACGCGACGTCCAGCAGCCATCAGCCTCCACGGCTCTCTCTTGCAAGCGCGGGCACAACAGCCGAAGTGGCGACGAGCAGGCGAGCAATGGGCGCCGTGCGCCAAGTGGGGTCCATCGCCACCCGTGCAGGCGCCGAGTGACCCCTGTCTAGCAGATGGCACCAGTGCGCTGTGCTGCTGGAAGGTGTGAAATGCGTCGATACGGACAGACAGAAGGCGCTGCTTGTGCTGATGTGGCGCTGAGAGCAGGAAGGACGGCTTGACCGCAGTGTGCGCGACGCTCGATTCCTATCGGCAAGTCACCGCAACACCCGGCACGGGGTGGCTCGGGGGAAGGGGGCCTGCAGGGTTTCAGAGTCCCCGGGTGACAGGTGCCGAGCCCGGGCTGCTGCCTGCCGTGCGGCTGGAACACGTACGGATGGCCAATGCGGCCCTCTCCTCCGTGGACGGCGGCCCCGTGGGGCACCGGTGTCCAAAGCGAAAACGCCCAGTTCATGCGCCCGAAACGAATCTGCGACGATGATTGTGCTGCAAGCACTCCTCGCTCCGCAGCCAAACTCGGCACGCGGTGATGGGCTACGCCGGCCAAACGCAGGCAGCGAACAAGGGTGGTCAGGGCAGCGCGCGCTGCTCGGGACGGGCGCCGCAAGCGCCAGCGTGTGGGTGGTCACACATCTGCGCGGCGCCCTGCGCGGCGGCTGCTGCCGGCGGGCCCGCTGAGAGACCGGCCGCGCTGGCACGCACGCCGCTGCGGGCCCTCTGCCTCATGCGCAGGCCGCCGCCGCGACGCGGGCCTGCCCAAACGTCACGACGCCATCGATGGCCGCCTCCGCGGCGGCGGCAGCGCCCCGCTCCCCCTCCGCCTGCGCGGCCGTGGCGGCGGCGGCGGCGCGGGCCGGGGAGAAGCCCAGCGCGCGGTCGAACCAGGGGTGCGCGAGCGCGTCCCCTGCGGTGATGCGCGCCGCGGGGTCCCGCGTGAGCATCGCCTCGACCAGCTGCCGCGCCTCGCGGCTGAGGCGCCCCCAGTCGGACCGCGGGTAGCTGATGTCGTGCGTGCGCGTGGCGGCCACTATGGCGTAGGCCGGCAGCCGCGCGGCCTCCTCGGCCGACTTGTTGCTCCAGAAGGGCGGCCGCCCGACCAGCAGGATGTGCAGCATCACGCCGGCCGCCCAAACGTCGACGGCCGTGCCGAAGCGCCGCCCCGCCATCTCGGGCGCCATGAACAGGGGGCTGCCGCAGGGCTGGGTGAGGGGCACGGGGCGGCTGCAGCCAAAGTCGACGGCGCGCACGGAGACGCCGCCGGCAGAGTCACAGTCGGGGCACACCAGGAAGTTGGCGGGCTGCGGTGGCGGGTGGGGCGGGGCGGGCAAGGAATCAGGGTCAGGCCATCCAGCAGGGGCCGGTCGAGGAGGGCGCACAAGGACGGCAGACGAAGGCAGGGACATCTGGCATCGAACAGCGGTCACGGCCGGTCGCACGCGAGCGCCGGCGCGCACCTTGACGTCCCCGTAGGCGAAGCTGCGGCGGTGGCACTCGCACAGCACGTCCAGGACGCCGCGCATCACGGCCGCGGCCTCGGGCTCCCCCAGGTGGCCGCCGCGCTCCTGCAGCAGCGCCTTGACGGTGCCGCCGCAGAGCTCGCTCACGAGGTACGCATTCTCAGAGTCCTCGTACAGGCCCTCCAGGCGCGCGACAAACGGGGAGCCCTGAAATTGGGTGATTTGGAGGGAAACGGTGGCGGAGCAGAGTGGGCGGCGGTGTCGGCGGGGTCGTGCGTGCGCGTGCAGGCGCGCGTGCGGGGCCGACTGCGACGCAAGGAGAGTGCGATGGACGCAGTTGAGCAGGGTTGTGCGGCCGCATGCGTGCGCGTGTGGGTGCACGTGCGCGTGTGTGTACGTGTGTGTCAATACCTGCAGGGCTTCCCACGTCTCGGCCTCGCGCTCGATGGCCTCCAGGTGCTGAGACCCGCCGAGCTGCTGCGCGCCATCAGTGCACTGCGGGCTGGCGCCCGGGCTGCAACCGGGGCTGGGGCGGCACTTGGGGAGCACCTTGACGGCGACGTGGCGGCCCGTGTCGGTGGCCACGGCCACGTGCACCACGCCGAAGCTGCCGCGGCCGACCTCGGCGCCGACTGTGTAGCGGGCGGCAAAGTTGGCGCTCCAGCCGAGGGAG